ACCAGCAGCAATAGTAACAGCACCAGCAGCAATAGTAACAGCACCAGCAGCAATAGTAACAGCACCAGCAGCAATAGTAACAGCACCAGCAGCAATAGTAACAGCACCAGCAGCAATAGTAACAGCATCAGCAGCAATAGTAACAGCACCAGCAGCAATAGTAACAGCACCAGCAGCAATAGTAACAGCATCAGCAGCAACAGTAACAGCACCAGTAGCAATAGTAACAACACCAGCAGCAACCGCAGCGCGACAACTACCCCCGCAAGAAACTCTGCAACACACCTGTCTCCTCTTTTGCTCTATCAGTTCCACGTGGTAAAGAATCCTTTAGGGGTGTGACACTCGTGACTGCTGCAGCTGCTGCAGCAGCTGCATCACCATCCTCGGCTGTCTGGCTGTCGTCAACTTCCTGTGAATAGTGCAGAGCAAAACATGCGCAGAGCGCGCGAAATGGCAAAGCAAAGATTTTGCAGGAAGACGTGTATAACTTGCATCATAGGAAGCGAGAAGATCCATGGATACCCCTTCTGGAGTCTGTGTCATTCCAAGATGTGGGTATTCGCAAGCGGTGTGCAGTAGATTTCTCTCAGTTGCTGCAGCTTCTCAAGAGCAGCGCGCTTTGCAAGGCTACCTTCTCCGTTTTGAGCTCCCCAGCAGCAAGGGCAGCAGTAGTAGCAGTCGGCAGATCTTCCTCCGGATGGCTTGTTGTCGCAGCAGCCTTTAGCCGCAGCAGATTTAGACGCGCACGTGCTAGCGCTTCGAGCTTCGCATCCAGAAAAAACTTTCCCTGCCATCCATCGGAGACAAGCCGCTGCAGCTGCTGCAGCAGGCAGCAGCGGATATCTCCTGGCAACAGCCAAAAGCTGCCGCATCTGCAGCACCCAACAAATACAATCCATGTGCAAATGCGAGAGAGTCTCCTCACTGCAGCGACTGCACTGCTACAGCCGTTCGCACAAACGGCCAAAAAATATCTGAAGCAGAAAAGCCTTAAGACGAGGAAGGGCTCTGCCAGATAGAGATAGATAGAGAAATTGAGATAGAGAGAGATAGATAGAGAGATTGAGAGAGAAAAATAGAGAGAGATAGATAGAGAGAGATAGAGATATAGAGATAGATAGAGATAGATAGAGAGACAGAGATAGAGATATATATATTTATGTAGAGAGGGAGAGAAATAGTTAGACAGAGAGATAGATATGGAGAGAGATAGAGAGAAAGAGAAAGACAGATATAGAGAGGTAGGTATATAGAGAGACACAGACAGACAGATATAGAGAGAAAGAGACAGAAATAGAGAGAAAGAGAGAGAGATAGAGAAAAAGAGAGAGACAGAAGACTTTTTTAAAGTACGCCTGCTGCCGCAGAGAAAAGACGACCTTCTCCTCCACAGCAGCAGCCACAGCAGCAGCAGCAGCAGGAGGAGCAGCAGCAGGAGTAGGAGCAGCAGCGTTCCTTCTTAGCATGGAGACGAAATGAAATTTACCGGAGGCTATGCAGTGCCAGCAAGAGGCGATCAATGGCACTAGCGTCAACACCACATACTTCTGCCTTGCCAAGATCAATTACCCACTCCACTGCAGGAATTGCTCCCGCAGCAGCTGCCGCAGCAGCAGCTGCCTCTGCTGTCTCTTCGTCTTCATCGCGATCTCCCTCCTCGAGACTGCTGACGTCGGAGAGATCCTCATCGGCGGAGGCTTCTGGCTGACAGCTGTTGCTGCTGGTACAGCCACTACGTCCTCCTCTTTGCGCAGCAGCTGCCGCTCCCCCAAGAGCAGCAAACGCCGTTTCCTTTGCTTCTCTAGGCTCCTGCTGCTCTTTTCCTTCTGCGCAGACGTCGCTGCCTCCTGTCAGAGAGGAAGAGTCTTCGCCACTCCCCGCTGCTGGCAGCGATCGCAAGGCACTCGGCGTGTCTGTGCCTTCCGCAACTGCCGCTGGAGCCGCAAATGCGGAAGCCTTCGAGGTTGGACTGGCGCTAGCAGCAGCCTCAATTGCATGCACAGCGCCTTCCACAAGAGCTGCAGAAATCACACGAGACACCCCAGAAGCCTCTCGTGGCATCTCCGCTGTCGCCATATCCGCCTCTGCAGACGTGAACTCTGAGGGGAGGCACGAAGCTTCGACTTCATCCACAGACTTGATGCACTCGATCTTCATGGCTACCGCGCCGTCCACAGATGCCACAGCCTCCGTTTTGTGCGGCTCCAGTGGAGTATGGTTCTGCTGCTGTTTCTGCTGCTGATTCTGCTCCCTTTGCAGCTCCCCGTCTTGCTGCTGCTCCTGCTGCTGCAGACTTGCAGACCCCTTGTTCTGCCCCTCTGCTTCCTTTAAGACGCAACTTGCGTAAGTGCTGTGCTCCTGCAGAGGCTGCGTCTCTCCCGGAGTCTCCTCACGAAGGCGTTGGTCGTGTGTTTCTGCATTCTCTGGAGCTACTGCTGCTGCTGCGTTGCGTCGAGGGGGTGGCTCCATCATGGACGGTGTCAAGTAAGTGCGCCTCGGGCTGTACATACACTCGAAGAGCAGTCTCTTGAGCAGGAGGGGGGCTGTTAGGGGATCAACGAGACGGATGTCGAAAGGCAAGCCATCTAGAGCTCTCAATGCGCGACTCCCGAGCTGTAGAGGCTGCAAAGCTCCCGCCGTGAAAACTGCATCTTCAGCAAGCAAGCGACGCACATGCTGCAGGATATTCGGACGCCCTCCAGCTGCACATTCATAAAATGCAGCAGCTGAGGCTGCTGCACTCACTGCAGGAGCAAATGCTGCATGACGGCTGCTCTCGCCGTCGAAGCTGCTGCTCGTGCTGCTGTCAGCGGCTGCGCCAACGAGGCTCGAAGGCTCTAAGAAAAGGCCTTGTTGCTGCTGCTGCTGAGAGCTTGAGGCTTCTCCCTTGATGCCTGACGCAGCAGCGTGTTGGCGCAGCTTTTTCTTGGGCTTGTTTTGAAGCGGGTGTCTTTGGAATCCTAGATCAATGCCTAGCCACAGCGCTGCAGACACCATGCTCTCCTCAGGCACAAGACCATCTGCTGCATTGCTCCCTACAGGCACGGCTCGAGGCAACGCCTCCGCTAGCTGCAGCACAGCCAGCTGCACAAGTCGCAGCAGCAAGGCATCTCCAAAGAAGAAAGGAAGCTGCTTGCCGCATGCCTCAGACACGTTTGCATCCAGAGCTGCTGCCGCTGCATCTGCCGCTTCTGCCTCTGCATCTGCCGCTTTTTCCGCTTCTTCTGAATCCTCAGCATCTCCTGCTGCTCTCCCGCTCAGAAGGCAGCCCTCCTCCTCCGTGACACAAGTGTCTTCTTCGGCGCAAAAATCCTCCTTACCCTGACCTCCTGCGCTCGTTGTCACGCCTTCACCGCTGGCTGGTGCTGTCGCTGGCTTATTACTTGCAGCTTCTTCTGTAGCTGCTGCAGTTGCGCCGACAGTATTGGAGCTGCTGTAGACCCCTTCCTTGCCCTCCCCCCCAAGGATGTCGGCAACACCTACAGACTCTCCCGCCGACAGCCTCTTCAACACGTCTGCGTCTGTTTCTTCCTCTACCCCTGCTTGAGCTATAGTGGCTGCATCTGCTTGGGCTTTAGTAGCTGCATCTGCTGCTGTGAGATCCGTCTTGCAAACCGGTTCAGCAGTTGATGCCTCCACTGCGTTCTCTCCTGGCGAGGCTGCGAAGCTTGCATCCTCATCCTGCCTACCTCCTCCCGAGGGAGATTCATGCAGCAGAAGTGCCCCCTGGTGCTCTTGCAGAGAAAGCCTGTGCGGCAGTTCATACATGCGAGCCGTGAGTTGCAACCTCTGATGCCCGTGTCTCTCAGATGCCGCTGCCTCTGTACTCCCCATGGGCGTATTCACACCCGTAACACACGCACGTGAAGGCATCACAGCCGGTCGTAACAGCGCTGCTTCCAGAATTTCAATGGAGGGGGGCAGCAACTGAAGATACTCCGAGAAAACTCGCAAAAAATCCTGCAGCTCCATGAGCTCTGGATGTCTGTAGAGATGCAGCAAAGCCAGCGGCAACACGCGCTGCTGGCACTGAGACACAACACATATACATACGCATACGCATAAACATACATAAACATACATACACATCCATAAACATATACATACACACCCATTAACATATACATACATAAATATACATAGACATACACACATATACATAGACATACACATACAACGCAGAAAAACATAAACACACATATACATAGACATACACATATACACACATCCATAAACATACATAAACACACATATACATACACATACATGTACATACACATCCATAGACACACACAAATAAGCATACAACGTACAGAAACAGGAGCCTGTTATGTGAACGCATACATATATACATAGATAGATATATATATATACCGCTGGCTGTCTCACAAGAGCCCTTCGGAAGTACAGGAGTCAGACTCTAGAAAACAAAAAGAGGATTTTGCCTAAGAAGCCGGTAGCTTAGAAGAAAGAAGGCGGTATGCCTCACGCGTATCCTCGAACGCACCATCGGAAACTCTGAAGGATCTATGGAAAGCTCGTCCATTGGTTGTACTACCGCTTCTTCCAGCTCTGCCTGTAGTGGCGATGGTGCTAGTTGTTGTTGCTGCTGCTGCGAGTGTTGCACTTGGTGCTGCAGCTGTACGGCTGCTGCTGCCGTCCGCAAGTTCGATGCAGCAGCAGCAGCCGCTGCTGCAACTGCTCCTGCAGCTGCTCCTGCGTCTGCAGTGGGATCAGCCTGTTGCGAGTCGTACTCTGATGAAGCTCCTGGTGTATGGCCACTATAACTACCTTGCTCTGCTCCTGCAGGCGCTGGTGCTGTTGTTTCCAGACATGCGACGTCTCCGCGAGGTCGTCTGCAGCGCTTCCCTCCCCTGCCTGAGAACACTCCCCACCTGCCTGCCGACGATGAGGCGTGCTGTGTCGACGCGCCTACTGCGGCGGCTCTTGCTGACTCGACCTCTGAGGCGCATGCCTGCTGCAGCATTAGCAGCAGCTGCTGCTGCTGCTGATCAGGGCGTTGCTGCACGTTCTTTTCCTCCTCCTGGAGGGCAGCGAGATCTGGAGACAGCAAATACTCGAGGGGGGGGAGGTACACGTGAGCTGCGTTCGCCTTCTCGATGAGCTTTTGGCAAAAGGGCCCCTTAAGGAGGCTGCGACTACTGCATGCATCGCCGCTCGAGGAACCCCCTTCTTCCTCCCTTCCCCCCGTAGCGCATGCGTTGCCGTTCGCCGCTTGTTCGTCCTTGAGGAGTGCGCCTTTCCCGTTCACTGTTGCCTCAAAAGCCGCAATTTGCGTCAGCAAGAAGCGTGAGATGGAAACAAGATACTCCTCTGTACACCCCTCTACCGCAAAGGCCCCTCCCCAGCAGCAGGAAGGACTGATAGTCTCGTCTGCCAAGTGCCTTACGCCAGTGCCTCGTGGATCACACAGCGATAGCAGCTGCGATCCTTTGCCTTTCCGAATCGGAAGGGCGGAAAGCAGCTTGGCATGCTCAAAGATCGAGTTGGGGTCGTTGAGATGCTCCTGCTGATGCTGCTGAAGGGGGTAAGGAGGGGGGTAAGATCGCTGTTGTTGTTGCTGTTGCTGCTGCTGGTGTTGCTGCTGCTGTTGATGCGGACGCGATCCTCGCGATGAACCTCGTCCTGTACTTCTGCTGCTGCTTCTTGCCGGGGATAGCGGCTGCTGCTCCTCCGGCTGGTTCTGATGCTGCTGAGAAAGGCTGTCTAACATGGCATCCTCCTGCGATGGATCTCCTGCAGCGTGAGCGTCAGTGCAGACTCGCTCTCCTTCGAGGAAGCAGCGCACCGAAGGTGAAGACGGCTGCTGCCCTTCGTGCGTCTGCTGGACCTTTTGTTTGGCTGTTTCCGCAGCCGTCAGCAAGCCGCAGAGCTCCTCATACGCCGTGGTGGGGTGTACATACAGCTGAGGAACCACGCGAGCCGCTATCTCAAACCTCCGTCTACAAGATGCAAAAAGAGCTGCATAGCGACCAGCCGGTCGCTCCAAGCGATACTGCCGTCCAGAGACGCTCACACACCAAAGAGAAGGAACCTTCTCAGGAGTCGTGCCGTAGCTGATACGCCTGAAGAAACACATTCAGGGATAGCAGCAGGAAAGGCAGTCACGCATCCACATACACATACATACACAAATACACATACATACACGAAATACACGCATATTTACACATGAATTCACGCATATATTTATATGCAATGGAACTCACAGATATATATATATATATATGTATTTATAATTATATTTGCACAGTTCTCGTGATGCTCCATGCATACATATATATAGACTCCACACATCTAAGGAGATCCAATAGTAAGACCCCCTCTTTCTTTCACACTGCAGCACGTTGGTAGACGTGTGCCACGACAGAGCTCAATGAATGCCTATATATATATACATAGAAACAGGCTGCTGTGCCACAAAGAAAAAGCGAAAACCTTCTTCGGCGCATGCCATATGGACGGCTTTGCATGCAACAGCAGCTCTGTTTGAGAATCTTTCTCAGACATTTCCTCTTTGGCCTCCTTAAGCTCAGGGATGGCAAGACTAGCCACGCCACCTCGACTTGCATTTTATACACCGAATCAGGCAAAAAATCGCCTTACCACTCCCGCAACTCAATGCGGACAGAAAAAGATTTAAGATTTTTGGCGAGTTTCAGTGAGCACAACGCGACCTTCTCCAGCTGCCCGTCTAGAGAGCTCCCGCATGCACTGCTGTCTTCTGCGGCAGGCAGAGATGGGCAATGTTGTTGCTGCTGCTGTTGCTGCTGCTGCTCCTGCTGCTGCTGCTGCTGCGGAGTCGTTCCAGTACCAGCAACCGTTATTCCGCAGGCAGAACCCCCCCTTATAGAGGCGTCTGCTGCAAGAGCCGTGTGCTGCTGCTGCTGCTGCTGCTGCTGCTGCTGCTGCTGCTGCTGGCTCTTCGGGGCTTTGCGGCCTCTGCTACAGCTCACCACATTACTGCAGGAGCCAGCATAAAGATGCGGATACACCTCCGCTGCCACGGGGTGATTGACTGACAGCAGCGCCTGTGGCGAATGCAGCAATGCCACGTTCACCAGCTTCGCGTACAT